GTCTCTCTTCCGGCTTATCCTGTCAAGTACAATGGGAACCCTAGTAAGGTAACATCTGTGAAAACCTCATTCTGGGTTTGTGTCTTTTTTTTCAGAATCTTTCCCTTATGTCTGCATAATGTAGTCATTGGAATAAGATTGTTGATTTTTTTTTTGCTCCTGATATCTCGCATTTGAGCTTTCAGGAAACGTCATTGGTCTTAGAGACTAACTTACCCATATGATGCTTCAGTGTTTTATGATGTATTTATATGTCATTGCTTAGGAAAAAGGACACAGTAACTGTAGAAAATTCGTAGATAAATCCATACTAGTATAAATGTTGATCTTCCTGTGCACAAGTTTTCCATGTGCCTTCGCTTGTTTGGTGTCCTAGTGACTAGGAATTTGTCATTCGCAAGGACAAATGTAGACTTTCTGTCCTTTGCTATTTAAAGTAAGGAATCATGCTTGACTAGTGAAGAAGTGCAGAATGTATTGTGGTGGCCAACCCAGCTGGACAGACTGTGAAAGCAAAAAAATACCTCTCAAACAGGAGTACCTTTTTCTCACCCCACTTCTCTGGTAATAGCTGTGACATCAGGCATAAAGTGAAGAGGTAGGCACTAGTCTAAGTTTAGAGGCCTGGGAATGCATATCTTCTTGAAGTGGTACAAATATTTTGGTGGTTCTCTCACTTCGCCGTGGGTTCAGGACATCACTGTATAGCACAGACCCTCAGGGTAGGAATAAGACCTGATTCTAAGGGATATTTTCTGGAAGGTTCTTCGGAACCTGCACACCTGGAGAACAATTAAAATAGAGTTGAAAGGGGAATGCATGACTTTTACTACACCAAAGCATACAATGCAGCCTCAAACCTGGGGATTTGATTTGCAGGGGACATCTTGGAAAGGAGGATATCCAGACTCCTTGTGAGTGTCTCTGTTTCTACTCCACAGCACCTGGTAGGAATGGTCCATACCAAGACTAGGAGGGAGAGGAGAAGCAGGTCTCTGAGGACATGCCAGAGCACATTCACATGACAACATGGGAGTTTTCTACACAAACAGTGATTCTGAAACTTCTTACAGAAACTCTGGGTGTTTCTATGGTTTGGTACATAAGGGGACTTAACAAACATTTACCCAAAGAGCCAGAAGCACTGCTGGAAGTTCCAGCACTTCCTCTCTCCCACAGGTCTTTATTTTTTTCAGAGTATGACAATTTTGCTTTTGTGTAGTTTATCTCTGTTAGTACAACATATAACACAGGCTTTGCAGAGGACTCAAGATACAATTTTGAATAGACACAACTGCTGTCTATTTTGAATTGTGAGATACACAGGTGTAGACAAGAATTAGTTATGGGCTAATTTACTTTATTTTCTCATCACTTAAGCATTTTTGAAATGTTAAAGCTAAGACCTGCTGGACCAGGAATCTTTTGTAACTTGCTGCTTGCCATCTGAACCAGGGAGTCCTCCCAGCTTAAGTGGCCATTAATGAAACCAGCTAATGCCATAGCTGAAGTTGTTCTATAACCCTTCCTGCCTCCTCTCTCAGGTTAGCAGGTTCCTCTTTCATCTCCTGCAGCTTTGCATGCCTCTGCCTTCCCAGCATTATGTTTCCCTCTTCCAACACCTGGCATCATTGTTTGGTGCCTGGGAATTTCCCACTCTCGAAATGAAGTTCCCTGCAGAGAAAAATAGCTCTCAGCTTCATCATAGCAGTCATTCAGTCAGAGTGCATTAGTTCAGATTAACACTATTGTCTCTGGTCTGGTAAGTTGATACTAAAAGCCTTATCAGCAAAAGCAGATATGCAAAACAGAGGTATAACACCTTGTAAAGTAACAGCTTCAACAAATTCTCTTTATCATCTTTTAAACTAAGTGTATCTGAATTCCAATGAAGAAGGTATGCTATATAACTGATGACTTTGGATTAATTTCTGTGGATTTCTAAGAGAACACCTATAGAACTATGTTAAAGTCCGCATCCCTTAAATTCTATAAGATATTTCTATGAAGAAAGTGTGTATAGTGAGTCTCCCTGTAGCAGGTTAATGTTTGTGTATTGTCACCCTGACTGAACCCAGCATGGGAGCTCAAGTGGAGTAGAAATCAATGAAATAGCATTAGGATGCAATTGTCGCAAATTATCAGAGAAGAAAGAAGACAACTGTAATTCACTAGAAGTAACACTTTACCAACTGCTCTCACTAAGCATTAGTTTAGTGTGTTTTCAATTTCAAGGCACTTTCTCTGGAAAATACTTGGTCCATAATTACCATTATTATCACCATCCTGAAATTTGTGGAATTTAACCTAAACAAATTCCTCAAAGCTTTCACTTAGTTCTGATATACTTCATCCTATTTATCCTTAGCTTCAGTGGCACTTGTGCTATGAGGATCATGCTTCATATTGCGAATACCATATCTTTCTCAAAGAAAGCTGCTACGAGCTGCTGTACAAACACCCTGGGTGTTTGCATGTGTCCTATTTTGCCCAGCAGGACAAGGTCACTGCAGAATTTCTGTGGGGGCCAAATCTTTTATGTTTTATTGGCAGTCATCACAGCCAAGGTTTTGTTACATCCCTGTGACAACCTTAACTGAGTGGTCACAATACCACTTTCTATCCAGCAGTCATTTTTGCTCCCAGCATCTCAGATTTTGCCCTTTATTTGTCTTGTTTGCTAGCAGGAAAATTATTGGTAAAATATAAAATTACTGCTAAAACCAGTTAAACATTCCCTAACTGAAAAAAAAAAAAAGGTATTTTTCCTCCATGTACACTGGATATATATCTAAATATTTCTATGTTACAGTGATAATTGTCTCTCTGACATAATGTAGTATTTGCATTTTGTCATTCATCATTTTTTTTCTAGGGGTATGATCACTCAAGGGACTGGTTTATGTCTTTCATTTCCTGGTTATCCAGTCAGCTCCATCTCACACCAGCAGGAATTGAAAGCTATTATCAATATGGAGAACAGGATTTATGTGAAACAAGGATGGGATGTCAGTCAGTCGCCTAATAGCAAAGCATTCATATCCCAGTAACCACCTCATGACTATCAGTTTGTCCTGGTACTCAATAGGGGATCAAAGGCTAAATGATAACCAAAGCAAAATTAATCTCCATGCCAGGTGTGGTGATTTAACTGGTGTTAAATCTGTACTGTGTGGTACAGTAACTAAGTACCACACAGCTGCTCACTCAGTCTGCCCAGTAGGATGGGGAGGAGAATTGGGGAAAAGGTAAAATTCATGGGTTGAGATAAGAACAGTTTAATAACTGAAATAAAGTAAAATATTTTAATATTAATAATCATAATTGTAATGAAAAGGGAAAAATGAGAGAGAAATAAAATCTGAGACAGGTGATGCACAGTACAACTGCTCACCACTTGCTGATTGATGCTCAGCACATCCCTGAGCAACAGTCAGCTTCTCGCAGCCAACTCCCTGCAGTTTCTATACAGAGTATACAAAAGTAAATCTTAATACTGTATTTAAAAAGAGCAAAAAATATGTGGTATGGAATACTGCTTTGGCTAGTTCAGGTCAGCTGTGCTGGCTGTGCTTCTTTCTGGCTTCTTGTGCCCCTTCCTCACTGGCAGAGCATAAGAGACTGAAAAGATCAGGATAAGCACTGCTCATCAAGAATTAAAACACTGGTGTGCTATCGGCATTATTCTTAGACTAAAGCCGAAACACAGCAGTGCACCAGCTTCTAGACAGATAATTAACTGTCCCAGCTAAAATCAAGACACTAGGTCAGGATGGAAACCCCTGAGAAGTGTGCCCATGTGCAAGAGAATATGAACAAAAAATTTTACTTTGAGTGTGCTTTTGATTCAGCTTTGCTCTACACAGGACACTCACGTCAGTAGGTTTGCCAGGCACACTGAGAGTGAATTTATTCATAACAAAATAATTTTTAGAGTAATAAATAGACTGTTTCATATCTGATTACAAGCTCTCCCTGCACTGGCATGAGATGAAGCCTTCCATATCAGGAAGACAAGAGGGAGTCTGGTTCAGTAATCAAGTTACTGAAGACTGTAAAGCAGGGGGTCAGGCAGTAAAGTTTAGGTTATTTACAGTGCAGATGAGGGTAAAAATCACTGGCCAGGGACAAGGGAGATATGTGAGATTTGAAGAATTAGGGACATAATTGGGACTAAGGAAACCAATCACACCAGGTGTGATGCAGATTGGTAACTGCTCTGGTATGGTAAAGGACTATATGTAAAAGACTATATGAGAAAATGTCATCACTTCCCATCTGTCTTTCTAGGCTGCTTCATTTATGTCTGGTCAAACTCAGCATCCATTTCCCTTGATATGAATAGGTATTGACAAGTCTTTGGTATCTCTACCCTCCTGACTGGACACTGAACATCAACTTACTCTTTTGTCAGTTTTAGGATTTCTCCTTTTTCTCTCCCCTCATAAAAAGAAGCTGGAGTACCTACTTTCCCAGACATACAGCTTTAAAAGTCCTCTGGCTACAACTTTTGTCCCTTAAGACTTCTAATACTTGAAGGAGGAACCTTGCCAAAGTGAATCACCTTCATTTCAGATAGTGCATGTCTGTGCATTACAAAATGCCTGTGCAGCATCTCTGTATCACTTTCTACACGGCTATTGATTATTCTTGAGGATCTGATCACGGACCATTTGATTTAGGTTCCCTTTTTGAATATATAGCTTCTTTTCTGAATCCTGCTGTTTGCCATAATTTTCAGCCAGGTTTTTTGTTGTCTTTCTTTATAAATGCTTTGATATAAGCATATCCTTGCCTTCCTGTTGCCTGGGGAAACTTACTCTTTCTCTTCAATGCCTTCAGATTTTTTATTTCTAGTTTGTCCTCTTGTTACAGCAGAAAAATATATTTCTTAAAATCTGATCCACTTTGGAGAACCTAGGATTTATCTAGGAAGTAATTACATTTCAGGTAGTCAAGCACAGTAAGCCTTTAACATGAGTCTGTTCATGGGTAGATGTGCTGGTACCACTTTCTTGTCACCTTAACGTGAGCAGCGTGATGCAGAACACAGCAAGTCAGGACATATGAAGATTGAAGCAGTTCATAAAGTAAGGGTATAATTAAGTGCTTGAACATGGACAGATTCCTGAAATAATGATAGATGTGAGGAAAGGAGATGAAGAAGTTTGGTTTGTTGAGAAACACAAGGAATGTGTTGAGAGGAAGGTGACAAGTATAGCAAGATTCAAGGAAGTGCATATACATCTCCTTCATATATCTTTCTGGCTAAAACCAGAATGATATCCATGAAGGATCTTGAAAATTGAGTCCAAATTTGGTTTGGATCCTACAGAAGACATGTGTTGGGGGCTGCTACATGGCAGTACGTTAGATCTCATAGCAGATTCCCCTGAAGTATGAAAAAGTCAAAGTCCAAATGGACATGAAGTTTGTAAAGAAACAACACTGAAGATTGATTTAGTAACAGCTGTGTTCAGGAAGAAGATTAGAGAGAAGTGAGTTTAGGAAGAAAATCCAAATATCAATATGCCTGCAGCTCTAGGAGTTTATGTTAGGCTACTGAGAATGTTAATCAGATTTCAAAAAACCCAGACAGTGTAATGCATGGCAGGTTGTACTCTACAGCATAGAAACCATGCTGCACAGTTTGCTTTGTGCAGAAAACATGGTTATATATGCAAGTAATTTCCATATTTCTGCTGCCTTATTTTTAACCCATTTAATGACCTTTATGATCACAGTTCAGTCAAGTAGCAGCATTCGTGCCAGCAACAGCATTCCAGCTGGGTTAATGAATACACACATGATTTCATGAAGGAATATATCTTTTTTGACCCAGTTTCAACCTTTCATATTTCAAGCTGTTTAATTATAAGATATATTGGTTGGAAACAAACACCCATTTATGCAACATTAAAAGTTTAAACAAATTCCATATGCAATTATCTTAGGCACTGAGTGTCTGTGATTGGTATATGTAGGTAACAAATTAGTGGCACAGTTGATAAATGCCTTTCACAGAACAGATGCAAATAACCAGACTTCTGTGTTCCTTGAGTCTGCATGATAATAGGTTCTTTAAGCACCCTGCTAAGAATTAGGAAATTAGTCAAATGGGATCATATTTAGGTTGAGCTAATACTGCACAGCTGAATTTACCCACCATTATCTGCGGGCATAATTGGAGACAACTGTTTTTTGGACCAGCTGTGCAGGTCACAAAAGGATAATAATGGGGGCCCAGCCTTGCTATGTCAGATTGATAAATGTTTATAGCACCGTGTGACTGGAGGAGCTGGCTTTAAACAGGTACAATTTAGGATTATTTCTCCTTTCTTTAGGATTCCTAGGGTTGAACATGCCAAATTAAATTGTTCATCATTTCCACATACCATGAGTCAGTGTAATTCACAGGGAGAAGAAAGAAAAGGTGTGGTAAGAGGAAAAATATCTAAGAGGTGTCAGATAAAACTTTCTCACCACACATAATCTGTTTTACACGTTCCCCTTAGTTGCTTTTCCTGCTATTTTCTCACCTTTCCTTTCCCTAGGTGGGTAGGTTTACATTGTTTATGCTGATATTGTGGAACTTAAAAGTGCCACTCATGCAGTTCCGAATTTCTCACTTGCTCTTTTTAGCATTTAGACTTAATAGTTGTTCTTGGTATTCTGACAAGTATTTCTTTTAAATGTTACATCCAAGTACAGACCTGTACTAATGCTAACCTATAAATACGTTAACAGCTACAGTTTGTTTAGAAAATGTGATATTAGTGTTAAATGTATCTTACCTGAATCCATTAGTCACAAACAGGTAAATAAGAAAGCACACTCTGATTTTAATTGCAAGGAATATGTTTCATGCTAAATGTCTGTCCTATTTTTTGCTCTCTTTAAATGCACCATTAGGATTTGTGTGTCCTACGTATGGGCTGTAAATTACACTTTATTTTAACAAAATGAATAATTTGCAGTGAAAAATAGAGAACTTTAATTATCTTAACTAGGTACCACTAAGGTTTAAATTACTAAGAAGTGAAATGTTGGTTCTGCTGAGTACTGTTACTGTAGCACAGACCTGGATTTAGCTGCTATAACAGAAAGGGAGACAGGTAAGAGAAGAGACCTGAAAGGTGAAGAAGAGGGGTTGTAATTTTATTTTACATTAGCCCTCTGAAATGCGCTCCTGCTAGTGTTCCTCAGCTTCACAGGATTCATCTGCAGTCATGGCCAAAAATAGTTCTGGAGACCAGAGCATACTGCAGTGGTGATTCTGCCAGCAGTGCAGCTAAGGAATATTGGCTCTGATTTCACAGTGCAGCCTCTTCTTTGAGTCTGCTTGTTGGCTGTTGATCCACGGGTCCTGAAAACATAGGGAGATTTATCAGACAAGGTAAATCTTTACCCATTGATGGCACAGACTGGCTGGAAGGTGAACTTTAGGCTCATAGGGATGAACTTTATGCTTTAGGGTGAGCTGTGGGCTCTCCGAAAAACTACAGAAGTGACGGGGGGTGGCTGCTTCTGTCTTTTGCTTCTCAGATTTGTGTGACACAGCACCATCAAGCTGCGTGGATCTGGAGCATGCAGAGGTTCTGACTTCGGCCAAGTGCAAATTCACTTCAATATCATGCGAAGGAGGCGGGGGGGGGGGGGCGTGGAGGGGTGGAAATGGTGTTGCTGTAGGAGCAGCAACTCCAGGAGCCTCACATCTGCATCCCTTCTTCAGGCATGTCAGGTGGCTGTCGTTGCCCTCCTGAAGTGATGCACTCCACTGGGACTCCTTGCATGAGAAAAGTGTTACATTTCCAGCCCATTACTGGCATGCAACATGTGCAAACTGTCTAAAGTGTATAAATGGAGTGCCTGAAGAGTGTTTTATTATCAAAGTAATTGCTGCATTTCCTAGATTAACGTTTGTTAGTGCAGTAGACTGAAATCATCACCGGTTATCTTATCTATGAGAGAAATTTTATCTTTCTCAGGCCTCCGATATTCATGAACGCAGCAGACGCTGATAACACCAGCTATTCCCAGGTTTCCAGTCTCCAGAGCAAAATGATCTTGCTTTCTCTGCTCAAGATGGCATCATAGAACTTCCTCCAGGATCTTACTGTTATAAAATACATCAGAAAAGACCCTCTGCTGTCAGAATTAGCATTTCCACCACAACCCAAACCATGTTTCTAATCCATTCCTTTCTAAATTAGCGATGTTTCTTGATGGTATGGGAAGGGGGAAGGGACAACAACAGTTGTAAAATGTTTTTTATTGAAACTTAAAGGCAATTATTTCTGAATTCCCATCTCCTTAATTAAAAGTGTCACTGTTTTGTGTTTAATCAGTACTTAACAAGCCTTATTGTGAAGCGAAAGACCTAAACAATGTCTGTAATAGGCTGGGAGGGTTAGCTGAACTTTGTTTAAATATAAAGGGAGTAGTGCATCTGCTGAAGAACTAAGCCCTTTCAAAGTTTAGGACACTCACCAGTGCCATACAGCATAAATCACAGTGCAAACTGTGTGATTATACCCTGCAGGGAAATAGACTGTGTGTTTATGGGGCTCTTCACCAAGCACTTAGGAATAATCTGATATAAAGCAGCAGGGGAGGAGAGTAATGACAACTTCAAATTAGTTTAATGAATGTTTACATTAAAAAAGGCTTTTCCACAAACCTGAAAACACAAAGTGACGGTTTCCTCTCCAGACAAAAACCCCCTCTACTTTTCCTTAGAGTACTGGATGGGGGGCACATTGTAAATTTAACTCTTTCAGTACAATAAGCCATAGTATCTTTATGTTCAGTGGTTTGCTGTCATTATAATGAGAGTTGCTAGCAATCCAATTATAAACAGCAGTATCTGGCTGGTAGCTCATCTATTTTAAATCACACTGATCTCAGGGAAAAAAATAAGAACAAAGGTTGAGAATTTCATTCCCATGAAAGAACAAACATCTCAAAATGAACTTTGCCAACTTTCTGTGGAACACATGCTTAGTATATCTTTGGCTGTATTCATTCAACAGGCTAATGTGAGGTTTGAGAGATTCTTTTCACTTCAAGCAACATAGAATGAGTTTATAAAGATAAAAAAGGGAGGAAGGGCAAAGTATTAAACAAAATAGAAATAATGCAGTACTTCTAGTTTTCTTCTCAGACTCAAGGTAAATAATTTCTCAATATTCCCACATATGCACAAGGCGCCATCATATATACAGTGAATTCTTGGGTATTTTGGGGGAATAAACAGCTTGTACCTCTGAAGCAGTTAAGATCCTTCTATCTGAGGACTTACTGTGCATTTCAGATCCGGCATTGCAGTATTTTTCACTGCCACAAGGTATTTTCATGAAACATTTTTAAAACTTTTTTCAGTGGGGCATTTTGAATTGTATCAGGTGGAAATTTGTTTTTTGCCTTTACAGAGTAGATGCAAAGTTTTCCACTAAGAATTCTGCAAATGAGTAAGCATATATAAAGAAAAGAAAAGAGAAAAGAAAAGAAAGAAAAAAAGAAAACAACTTATTTTTAGGTTAGAAATAAAAGTTCAGAGGTAGGTTAGAGATAACTTCCAGTTAACTCCAGTGTTTTGAAACTTCCCCAAGAGTTAATATGTGTGAAATAGGTCTAGGTATGACTGTTATTGTACAAACTCTTACTGAAATGTTTTTTGTTTTTGTCCAAGGATGTAAAAAGTTAATAACAAATCAAGTACCCATTTTTATTAAGGAGCATGTGTGCTTCTCAAGCAACCATGGGAAGCTCTGATTTTAGACACTAATTTGTCAAATGCTATATTTGCTAAGGGTTTTTCTTAATCCAGTATGCATCCCAAACAATACTTGTTCTGTAAAGCTTTCATACAGAAGAAAATACTTCTGTATGTATATCTGTCACACATACTAAATAGTATATGTATTTTAAGTACTATTATATATATAGCTATTGCAAATGTCACTGAGATCAGGATAAAGACTTTGCACTCTCATGAGGTGTAAAGAAGAGCCCATGTTCTTCTTGATAAACAAATAAAACCACATAGCACAGGTCCTGCAGCAGCTTTTCTGTTTATCATATGCTAGATGTGATGTGGAATATCTTTAAAGTAAACCAGATACAGTGTGAGTGAGGAAATCAATATCAATAGGGCGTCTGGAATGAAGTGTGATTGACATTTGTAAAGTTGTTAGAAAACGTTGCAAACTATTAGAAAAAAGTGTCAATAGGCATTTCACTTCAAAAGAAGGATTAAAATAAGATGACTGATGCTGTGTGATGCTAACTGGAAGCTTGGAAGTCCCTCAGGTTGCAGAGCGCTGATTGTAGGATATGGCCAATGGAAAAACAACAATTTCTGCATCAGTGTAAGGGTCCATGAGATAATTTTTTATGTTTCTCTTAAGCTACGTTTTTAGCTTTGTCCATGTTACTGCATGTTACAACCTACTCTAAACAGCCAAGCCTCTGGTTGTTTATAATAGAATCCCTCCTGTTTTGTCAGTGCAAATATGGAGGCATTTTACTGGATGTTTAACCGTTACAGAAATTATGTTTTTCTCTGGGAAGCATGTTAAGAGCACATTAGAAAACCACACCGCTGATCTCTCTTGGAAATTCCTGCAGTAGTTTTTGGCAAAGGAAGTCCCATGGAAAACCAACTTTGTCCATCCTACTGGTGGTGGGATAAGCCACCCAGGATGAGTGTACTGTGGGTGAAAGCTGGGTAGTTATGTTTTACCAGTTAAATTACTGTGTAACGTAGTTCAAGTCTTCCACAATCAGAACCTGATTTTCAAAGCAGAGGATCCATCCTGTCACCTATAATCAACTGAATCTCTGAAAGCAAGTCATAAAATTACTGCTGTTTGAGAATACTTCTGAGGTCTTTACAGGAAATATATTTAGGAAAGCTAAAGCCCTGGTAGAATTAAATCTGGTCAGGGGTGTCAAGGGCAACAAGAAAAACTTCTATAGATATGTCGGTGATAAAAGGAAGACTAAGGAAAATATGGGGCAAAGTTGCTTTATTATCAATTAATTTGGGGGGGATTCCACTACCCTTGATGCTAGGAAGCACAGGTCCCCCTCTGTTAGACCCTGTATATGTAGATAATATGTTATGTGCCCCTGTCCTCCTGTAAGGATAGCATGCAGTCTCTCCATGTTCTCAGGCATGTGGGGTGGAAGCTTAGTGCCCTGAGCCTGCTGTCTAGCCTTTGTATTTCAGGCAGTTTAGTGTATGCTGTATCCAGTAAACCTCTCTGTGGGCTGTTGGGTGAATGTATCTGGATGGGTTGATTTTAATA